CAAAAGTTCATGTGGAAAAATAAACATGTAAAAATATCCAAGAAAGGTCTGAAACAAGAGAACAATAACAGGGAACCAATCTCCAAGTATTAATACATTACAAAGCTGCAGTAATTAATATACTATGATACTGGCACATGAATAATTAGAAAAATCATGGAGCAGAACATAAAATCCAGGAATAGTACATACATCTATATATGCCATTTTAGAAAAGGTGACATTTTCTAACAAGTGGGGAAGATGGGTTATTTAATAAATAGCATTAAGAAAAATGAATTGGGGAAAAGAAAAGGAAGAAAAATGTGACTCCATTTCTAACACCTAATAGTAGGAGAAATGCCAAATGTATTAAAATTTTAAGTGTTTTTTAAAAAGATCAAAATACTGGGGGAAAGCATAGAAAGTAGAAGGCCTTTCTGAATTTATGACATGAAAACTCAGAAACTATATAAAGGAAGATTGTTAAATTCAATTACATGTTCCAAAAATATGCATAGTAAAAAGTACAAGCAAAATTAAAAGGAAAATATCAAATTGGGAGGGAAAAATGCAAACCTACATCACAGACATAGAGTTAATCTCTATAATGTACAAGGAGTTCTTAGAAGTCAATGAGAATAAGGCCAGCCAATGAAAATAATGGGCAAAAATATGGACAATTCACAGAAAACGAAGTATAAATTGCCCTTAAACATATATTGAGGAGCTCACTAATAATAAGAAAAAGAAAATTAAACCACTTTTACCTATCACATTGGCAGAGATCAAAGTTATATAATTCATTGTTTAGGATAATCAGGATAGAGAAATAGACCTCATACTTGTTGGTAAGAGCTTAAATTGTTACATCTTCTGTGAAGGACAATTTGGTAATGTCCATCCAGTTTATAAATACTTTATCCTTTTAGAAATATATTCTAAGACATACTCATATGTTTGTGATATATGTACAAGATTATTTCCTGCGGCACTATTTGTAGTACCAAAAAAGTAGAAGCAATCTATTAAAGTCCATCAATACAAGACCTATCAATTTCTGTACAGTACAGCCATACAGGGAAATACTACAGAGCCACAAATGCATAAAGAATCTCTTTACATATTAACTGATATGGAATGACCCTCAAATTCACTGGAGGAAAGAGTATACACATACACACAGACATCTCTGAAAAGATACATAAGAAGCTGATAAGACTGGCTGTGTTAGGGAAGGGGAACTGAGTGGTTGGGAGACAGGAGTGTGAAGGACACTAAAAAATGTCTTTTTAAAGACAGTTTTAAAATTTATAAATAAATAGGAGAGGTCATGAGGCTTTCGGAGTCATAAGTGCCAAAGTTAACTACTGAGATAATAAATAGTAAATACTATTATATATATATATATATATATATATATATATATACACACACACACACAATAGAAAAAATAAAATAAGCTTTCAACCTTCTCCTCCTATTTCTTTCCCCCAAAACGCACACGTCTTCCTCCGTTTATAATTTTGCTAGCTTTCATTAGCCTTTAGCCTTATCCTCAGACCCTGCTATTTCATTTGTCTCAAGATGCATCTTAACATTTCTAATAATTTTTTAATCAATCAAAGTTATATTTCAATCTCATTTCAACATCTCAATTTCAATATGTTTTATGAGTAATAACAAACAAGCTAAAATCATTTATTTGAGGCAATCATAAGAGAAGAAACACGTCTTTTGGAAGGTGTTTAAAAAAACAAACAAACAGGGGCACGTGGGTGGCCCAGTCAGTTAGGCATCTGACTCTTGGTTTTGGCTCCAGTCATGATCTCACGGTTTGTGAGATTGAGCTCTGCATCAAGCTCTGTGCTGACAGCTCCTGTGCTCTCTTTCTCTCTCTCTCTGCCTCTCCCCTGTGTGCTCTCTTTCTCTCAATAAAGGGGAAAAAAAAAACACTACTTAAAATGAAATATTGCCTGTTTGGAAAATGTGTCATGGACCATTTTAATAATATATTTTTTAGATAATTAAAGATGTCCTCTCCTGGCATCTTTAACTGTAATGAGCACAATCAAGAAGGTAAGCTTTTAGACAAAATATGAATTAATAAAGCCACAAGTCACATAACCATGGTGTCCATGGAGATGCACAAGCCTATGTATCGAGATATGAGACAAAATTTCTATTTCTATTATCTTTTCCTCATAATGTATAAAGTAACATATCAATACATAAATTATAAATAATAAATAAGTATGCATACATGCTATTGTGTGCACAATCATTTTTATCCACAGAAGAGTGTGGATAAAATGTTTAGTAACTGCTGCCAAATGATGGATTTTTTTTCCTCATAAATAAAGGGAAACACATCTGCACTATAGAATATTGTATCAGGCATAGTAAAAAGAAGCAGCTATAAATTATGAATTCCTAAGTCAAACGCTATTAAATTCATCTAAAGAGAGATACTTAGTAAATAATAACATTTTCAAGTTAAGAAAAACTGTTAGATATTACCATTCTAAATCTCCTTATTTCAAACATGAGGTAACTACAGGCTAGAGAGAATAAATAATATTCTCTATGTCATATGACTGACTCATGGTGAAAAAGCCCACTACAGAACCCAAATTTCCCAACCCTTTGTCTTTCTACTGGACAACAGTGGAGATAGGTGTGTGTGTGTGTGTGTGTGTATGTGTGTGTGTGAGACGGGAAATGGAGAGGGTCTTTGAAATTAGCATCAGGCCAACCCGTATTCTCATGATTGCATATTCTACTTATTCAAACCTTTATTTTTTTTCTTTTTAAAGTCTTCCCCAAATCACATCCCATTTTATAAAGTGGAATAATGAATTTATTTTTATCATGTTAATTTTTTAAGACATTCTAAAGGAAAAAAAGTTCAAACCTAAAGTTAATCCTGTTTTCATCCACCTCCTCTAACAGAAACAACCTCTGAACTCTAAATGCCTTTTTCTTACCAGTAATCCTGTGAGACCAACACAGAAAACAAAAGAAAACAAAACAAAACATATGCAACTCTACCCAAAGGAAATGAAAGGTGAAATGTGATGGGAGTGGATGATACAGCAGTTGAATTGCAAAGAAGCAATCAAAATTAAAAATCCATTCTTTGAAATCTGGCCATGTGTAACAACATGGATGGAACTTGAGGGTGTTATGCTGAGTGAAATAAGTCAGGCAGAGAAGGACGGATACCATATGTTTCCACGTATAGGAGAATTAGGAGGAACTTAATAGAGGACAGTAGGGGAGAAGAAGGGGGGAAATAGTGGGGGAGAGGGAGAGAGGCAAACCATGAGAGACTCTTGAAAGCTGAGAACAAATAGAGGACTGATGGGGGTGGGGGTGAGGGGAGGAGGGTGATGGGCATGGAGGAGGGCACTTGTGGGGATGAGCACTGGGTGTTATAAAGAAACCAACTTGACAATAAACTATTAAAAATTTAAAAAAATAAATCCATTCTTAAGGGATGATAAAATTGTAAACCTGCAAGAACAGATCCTACATTAACTCTTCAAGTCCATTAGCCTGATTCTGAGTTGAATTATCTCCGGGGCCTTCAAAATAGAAACAGTACGGTGAGTATGACAACACTGAGATCATGAATTTAGGGAAAAAGTTAAAGAGAAATTGAAAAGTATTTACCCAGGTAATTCAAACACATTTTTTTTTTCAAACACATTTTTAACACCTGGATTATATTTGTGTAAACCCCTCACAATATTGATAAAGGAAAATTTCAACTTTGAATATTTCTTGTTCTTGAGCTCCCAGGGAAGCTATATTTTAACATTTACCAAGGTCAAAATGACTTGGCAAAACCTCAAAGCATGGGCTCTGTTTCTGTCCCAAGCACATATAGTCTGCTTTAAATAATAAAAATAATAAAATTTAAAATAAACTGAAATTACTATACTGAACATAAGAATAAAGAAATTTCCCTGGTTCCCATAATATTAAAGTCATACAGCCTCCCAATATCTGAAGAACATAAGGTAAAGTCTGTGATTTTCTGGAATTTTCTTAATCATGATGATGTGACTCTTTATGTAAAAAATATATAACTTTGTACCAAATGTTACTTCCTGAGAGCACTCTCTTCTTTCTGAAAATTGTGTATATCAGGCAGGTGTTCCAACTTGGGCTCGAATAAACTTTCCTTTCTCCTCAAAATTCAAGAAAATAATATTTGTTCATTTTTCTCGATAATATATACAGGTGGCATTTAAGAAATTTGTATTGACACCGACATCGGTTTCAACTATGGCTATGTCATTTAACCAGTTTTGTCATGAACTGGGAAACTGATACCGCATTGGATTGGAAAGATTAAATAGCATAATGCAGTTGATCGCTTAGCAAAGTGTCTAGCATATAGTTAAGCACATATAAAACTTAATTCTTTTGAGCTACACACCAGGAGACACGTGAAGTGACATGCTCAAGGTCTCACGTTTTGTGCTAGGCAAAAACAAAAAAACAAAAACAGAACAAAACTTAGAAATGCAGATTCCTCCTCTAGGGAAACTAAAAGTTGAGACATTGGGGGTTTACCAAGTCATAATTCTTTTTTTTTTTTTAATGTTTTATTTCTGAGAGAGAGACAGAGACAGCGTGAGCAGGGGAGGGGCAGAGAGAGAGAGACAGAGAGACAGAATCCAAAGCAGGCTCCAGGCTCTGAGCTGTCAGCACAGAGCCCGATGCGGGTCTCGAACCCACGAACCTAAGATCATGACCTGAGCCGAAGTAGGACACTTAACCGACTGAGCCACCCAGGCGCCCCAGCTAAGTTATAATTCTTAAAAAGATTGGGACGGGGTGTAACGGGGAGTGGCCTCATGCAAGCCAAGTTTGTGGCCTCAGAAATCCACAAACACAAGCTGCTACCATCTTTTGTCCATTCAAGAGAAGCCAGAACTACATTTCCCAGAGACGCTCAGGCTGCTTCCGGTTCAGTGCGGCGGCGCTCTGCTTGCCGGCCGTATCTTTTACGTCAGTTCGGTCAGAAGACTCCCGCAGCTGAGACCGGGCCCTTGAATATGGGTTCTTTCTTGTCCCAGTCTATGGAGCCCATCAAGGTCTCTGCGCCTCCTAAGGTCACCAACTCCGCCGAGTCCCTGCCCCTCGCTGCACCTGGAGCGCCGACCTCTCCAGCGGAAGCCCCTGTATTTAATAACTGCTGGAGCTGTCGCGTGCTCTCCGGGTCGGGGCTGATAGGGGCGGGCGCGTACGTGTACTGGGTGGCGAGGAAGCCCATGAAGCTGGGATACGCCCCGAGTCCAGGGACTGTAACGCAGATGGTCATCGGCATCAGTGAGAGTCGGGGCATCTCAGGGGTTTTGGGCAGGGGGACAGGAAGAAGTGGGCCACAGCCACGTGGACGGGTCGGGGCTAGTCACGTGGCCGAGGTACACCAAACCAGAAGCAGGGGCGGGGAGAGAAAGTTCTTGGGACAGTTTTTTTTCTTTCTTCCTTTTTTTTTTTTTTTTTTAATGACTATATTTCTTGAGGTCTCTGGTTAACTTCAATCTCTAAAGCTAACAATAGGTATTAGAGATAGGTATGGTTATAGCAATCCCTTTTTGCCGCTGAACAAAGGCACCGAGAGTATTCAGGGTCAGATAATTAGGATGTGATACAGCTGGCTTTTGATCCACGTTTATCTGTAACCAGAACTCATGCTTTTTTCTCCAAATTCTGGAGAAAGCCTTAGTGAGATACATAACCTTGGTTTAAGAAGTAGGACTCTTAAGTCTTGGATTGGGTGTAAGCCCACGTTCTCCGTGTACCATGGGTGAATTGGCTGGTCCATACCCTTATCTGTAACCATAATAATTGGTTATTATAATAAGAAGTGATGTTAAGATGTCGTAGAGTAAAATGCAGTGATTTTTTTCTTTTTAATCTTAAAATCAGTTGAATGGGAAGGATTTTAGTTTTTCAGATCTCTTACCTTTTTAATTAGATTGCTCAGACTGGTTCTTTTTGAATGCCTTTCTTGCTTGGGAAGGTAACAGAATTTTTTCCCCCTCTGAATTTTCTTTTCCTTTTCTGAATTTAGTTCTTTTATAAAAAAAAATGTAATGGGGATGTGTCTTTTAGGAGTGTTGTGAGGATTAAATAAAATGGCATATATGAAAGCACTTCGTAAACTGAAGTCTAACATACATATGAGGTACTGTTGTTGTTTTCCTAGGCATTGCTTGCTGGGGTGTAATCATCCTGTCCGACCCCAAAGGGAAGGCCTTCCGTGCTGATTGAAAGTACCATCAGTGAGTTTGTCATCTTCTGTCCATGTCCCCATGACACCAGAACAAGCATCAGACTTACAGAAGTTCTGGACAGACGAATGGATATTGACAGACTTCAGCCCTGCGGATACTACAAGACTGAAAAGACAAATGTAGGTTGTTATTCTTTGGTGGTAAGGATTTGTGGCCTTCTTCTCAGACTCCACAGGGACCAATAAATCCCTCAGAGAAGAGAACAAGTTCTTTGTCTTATCTAGAGGAGGAGGATATAATAAAAATAAAGAGGAAATGATAAACTAAATTGGAAAATGAACTAAACTATTATTTTAAATAGTTCTCTTTATTTCTCCCATAATGGTGTCAACATTTATTATCAAACTAACACTGGATTTGCATCATGCAGTGTGCAGAAGTACATAAGACTTTATCTGTGTACCGTTCATGATTTCCAAGGTGTAGTCAAATCAATTACCTTATGAGAGTTTTAAAGCTACTCAGGTGCTTATTTCATTGGCAGCAGGTGAAAGTTGAAAATTGTCCTAGTAATTTTTCTGGGGTCCGCATTCAACAAGTCAGTGATGAAGCTAGGACTTGTTCTTGTTTAGTTCTAGTTCTCGTCTTTCAGAACTAGGATGACTTTGTGACAAAACAAAAATCAGCGTACGGTAAAAGACACGTACTAAAATATTTGAAAGAAATTCACAGTTGTGGGGCGCCTGGGTGGCTTAGTTGGTTAAGCGTCCGACTTTCACTTAGGTCATGATCTCACGGTTCGTGGGTTTGGGCCCCGCGTCGGGCTGTGTGCTGACTGCCAGCTCAGAGCCTGGAGCCTGTTTCAGTCTGTGACTCCCTCTCTCTCTGACCCTCCCCTGCTCACGCTGTCTCTCTCTCTCTCCTAGAAATAAATAAAACATTAAAAAAAAAAAAAAAAAAGAAATTCACATTTGTCATTAAGAACAAAAACCAAGTTTTGTCCACAACCACTGGACATGACCCTGTGATGAAATTGAGATGCTTTTGAGATAATGACTTAAAATTTGATAGTTCATTTTTAACAGAAGTCTCTGGTTCCCTTCTCTATAAAGTTATATATAGCTTTTTTGTTCAGAGCAGAAAGAGTTTAGTTGCCAATCACAGTGTGTTTTGAAAAATAATGTTGAGCAAGTACTTTCAGGGCTTTTACTCAAGTATGTAGAAGTGCCTGAGCTTAATGCTGGATGTCTATATTCGCAACATTTTCTTAGGTTAAACCAAAACTACATAAATGTAACTTGTTGGCCTTGGCTTGTCCTACTGGAGAAATAGAGTAACTCAAACTTATGTATGTAATGTAATTTTAACATCTTAGTAGTTGTACTAGTGTGTAAGAAAATAAGAGCTTTTCCAAATGAACTTGCCCTCTCACTAGAATATTGCCAAGGTATATTTGGTTCTTCCCAACTTGGGCCTGCGTAACTATGTTTGAGCAAAATAATACTCTACTATGTCTATGGGCAGTTAACTGGGAATAACAACCATTCCCCCCCACCCCCCAATAGTTAAATTTGAAATGAATAATTGTCTTTTTCTTTTTTTCTTCTTTTCTTTAACTTCCAAAGTTAAAGTTCCAAAAGTTGCTTTGAGATACGCCTGGGTGGCTTATTCAGTTAAGCATCCAACTCTCAGTTTTGATTCAGGTCATGATCTCACAGTTTGTGAGTTCGAGCCCTCTTGCTCTGCGCTGACAGCATGAAACCTGCTTGGAATTCTCTCTTCCTTTCTCTCCCTGCTACTCACCTGCTCATGGTATATCTGTCTCTCAAAATAAATAAACTGAAAAAAAAATTTTTTTTTAAGTTGCTTTGAATTCTGCCAGTGCAAAGTGAGAAATCCAGTCTGTTTTAGAGATGAGTCTGGTCTTCAGAGAGAAAAGAGATAGCACTTTAGTCCTGCAGTTCTGGAAGTGCATATAGTGCCCCGATTATCATTCCTTTTGTTGGGGATGAAGTAGCACAAGTAGGATAAAGAGACTCAAGAATCAGTGGATTATTAGTAATGTAAGAATACCCATTTTTATGGGGTTTAGAATCTCTTTATGTCATGGAAGTGAGAGTTATACAAAAGCCCATAATTATTTTTAGCGAAAGAGAAGAGAAAAAGTACAAATAAGGGAAATTTAAAATGAACTTAACAGTTTTCCTTGAAACACAAACCAAAATGTGAACATATATGTAAATGCTGACAATGTTTGTGATGTCCAGGGTGTCTGTTAACCTTTACATGCTATCTGTTAACCTTTACATAGTGCAAACTTTGGCAGCTCAAAATAATCAAATTATTGCACCATCTCTTGTTCTTTTGTGTATTGTATTGACTAGTCTACAATCTTTTGACCAGCTAACAATATATCTGAACATATGGAAGTACCCTAATGTAGATTGATCTTCAGGATCTTGCTATTTGGGGGGAAGGAGAGATGAGGGGTCTCTCTTCCTAGGCCAGTTGCTGTTGCTGGCAACACTGGAATGTTCAAGTACAGATCTATCTAAAAAGTTATGCAGTTTCACCTGGCTGAGACTAGTTGCAGAGACCATGGTTTTCAGGGAGCCTAGAGGTTAAACATCTCAGGCATGATTTGTACTTCACCTACTCCCTCAGCATTTGCTCCTTGCTTTTTTTATTACTAGTTTCTCAGCCTGATTGTGTATGAATTAGGGGCCTCTTGAATGAAGTCAGTTGATTTGACAACATAAAATAAATTGCTCCTAAATTAAATATATGTTCAGGGCAAGCATATGTTCAAGTACCGCCCCCCACTCCCCCTCCCCAAACCATTCTTGGTCTCAACTGATTTATTGCCAAGACTACATTGATCAAACCAACACTTCTCAAATCATGGTCCAGAATAGTAAGCAATTTTGAGTTGAAAATCCACTTTGTTTTTTCCTTCAATGACAGATAAATCCTTGCCTTGACCCTGTGATTATATAGGTGTTAAGGGCACAGAGTCAGAGGTGAAAGACTTATAATTACACATCATTCAGAAGTACCCTAAGAGCATGGGGAGAAAATCTGTCACTCTTCCAAATGCATGTCTCTTGGCCTTTGAGATATTCAGCAACTTGTCATTCAAATGTAGAAGGAGTATAGAGAAATAGTCGAAAGGGCAAATGTTAATACAGCAATGCTGCTAAAAGTCACTGCTCAGTCATGCGACTGAACTTGCATGTGCTTCAGGAATGTGGTAGGCAAGATTCTTAAGATGGTCTAGTTCCCTTTTGTACACACACTTTCTCCCAGTTATTCAAAGACAGTTCTAGGTGCTGCTGTGAACAAAATGTGTAGATGTAATTAAGGTCCCAGATCAGTTGATCTTCTGATTGGAAAATTATCCAGATGAGCCCATTAAATCTTGTTCTTAGAGGTCAGAGGCAGGAGAAGTTGGAGATTAGAAGCAAGAGGGGGATTCAATATAAGATAAGTCCCTTCAGGACTAAAAGAAAGCAAACATTCCTATGAACTGCCTATGGGGGCCATGTGGCTAGGAAGTGCAGGCTGCCGGCAGCTGCTGAGAATAAGAGCTAAACAGGAAACTGGGACCTCAGTTCTACAACTACAAGGAAATGGATGCTTGCTTGGAAGAGGGCCTTAAGAGAACCAAGAACTGCAACCCTAGCCAACACCTTGTTTCAGCCTCATGAGACCCTAAGCAGAGTATCTGGTCATGCTGTGAGACTATGAAATTTGTGCCATTTAAGGTTAGTTGCAATTTGTTACACAATAGAAAACCAATACAATGAATCAGGAATCTTATGTGGTATCATAGTTTTGGTAGATGACATGCCAGACTAATTATGTACTCCCTTTCTGGGTATTAGCAAGAAGAGGCCCTCTGAATAGCATTTGTCTTTACAGTTACTGTCTTCACTTGTTCTTTTATTGGTGGCTTTCCTGGGCAGTTTTTATCTTCTGTTTTCTAGCAAAATTGTTCTACTGCTGAATATATATTTTTAAAAAATTATAGCACCCTTTTTATGTGCCAAGCATTATGCTAAATGCTTTGTAGGAATTGTTCAATCCTCTCAGCAGCCCTGTTTCACAGCTAAGGTAACAGGCCTGGAGCAGGTAAGAGTTTTTCCAAAGCCTCAAGTGATGAAACAGTAGTGGCTTGAACTGGGAAGTGCAGATTCATGTTACTATAGTCGTTTTCTTAGCATTCATTTTCAAAATGTTGAGATGTAAAAATCAGAAATTTTGAATTTTCATTTTCCATTTTTTTCCTTGGTTATCCCTTAGTTTAACATGTATCATTAATTTCTATCACTACACTTAACAGATTGCTCAGTAATTATGCATCTGTCCCTCCCCACTGATTGTGAACTCTTCAAAAAGAGGACTGTGCTTTTGTCATCTTCATGCTTCTTTCTGGTTCCCAGTACCAAACATGTACCAAACCCCAGCAGCATGAGCATCACCTGCAAACTCATTAGAAATGTACATTCCTAGCCCCATGCTAGACCTACTACTGAATCTGAAGCCCTGGGAGTGGAGTCTACCAGTCTATTTTAACAACCTATCTGGGTGATTCAAATGAATGTTTAAGCTTGAGAACAATGGGTGTGTTTGAACCTGACTGACCTGTGTACAGCAGACTTCGTCTGTAATGTTATGGGAAAAAACCACCTGACTGCAGCCATGAGACTCAGGTTCTTAGCTTTGCCATCTGCTCCTAATAAGCTCTTGCGCAAGCTGCTTAAACTTCTAGAACATGTCACCTTCTGTAAAGTCAGAAGATTGGGCAATCATTAAATTCCTTTTTATCATGAATGTTCCCTCTGTGTATGAAAGAGGTGTACTCTCTGATGCCAAAGGACAGAGATAGTAGTGGAGAACAAGGAAAACTGAAATAGCACTCCATGTAGTGATTGTGTGAAGCTTTCACAGAAGATCAGAACATTGCTCCTACAAGTTCACTCTCTAGCATCTTGAAATGGCAACTGCTTGATACTTGACAGGAATTTGATAATCCCTTACCCCAATTAGTGCACCTGAACAACCAAACAATTCTATAGGGAAGTAACAGGGTCCTTCCTGGCCTTCTTGTGATCATATCATTCTTGGAAGCATGAAATGTGATTACCCTCTCCTGGTGTGCATAATTTCTCAGATATTCAAAAGAAGTATGGGAGGTCAGGAAGGATTAGGATTGGTGGTGGTTTATGTGTGTGTGATCTTTTTCTATTTCCCAAGAACCCAAATAGGAAAACCTTTCCTTCACTTTAACTCTGCGTAATACTGGTTTACTGATGTGAATTAAATTAA